TTGGGAACGCCACACCCCCTATAGACAAAACCCCCAAAAAAAAAAAAAAAAAAAAAAAAACTCCATAGAAAGATATAAACCAGGAAGGGGTAATTTTCTGTGTAACAAAGTGACAGGACATGCAGATGGCAAAGGAGGCAGAGTCCAGCTCCAATTAACATATGAAGATTTTATCTCTGAGGTGAACCACTAAAAACCTTCAATAGAGAAGTGGTACAGTTAGTTTGGATATTAGAAAAAATCATTATGACAACAGCATTGATAAAATGGAGTCACATCTCACTTGCAATATAGGTTCACAAGTCAGGGCTTAGGCAAAAACCACATAGAGGCAAATTAACTTTGACAGTTCCTTGAGGGAGTATGATAGGGAACAACACACCACTTTCAGTAACTCCAACACGGTTTCTCCTTTGACCTTGTAGTAAATTGTATGTTATATATTGAGCCCAGAGGAAGGAGCTGACTCATGTATAAAAACCACATCTCATAAGAAATACGCAAAAACACCGTTTGACACGAGAATGACACTCAGAGGTGTGATTCACACATACTATGAAAGGCATACAGGAACTGAGATAGATCTCAAATCACAGATCCAGGTCTTCCATATTATATTCATTCTGGGGCATAGTCCTTTTGAAATAAATGGCAATCGAGTCAGTATATTAACTAAATATTTTTCTCACTGAGAAGTGATGGTTACTTTTGCCTTTATTAAATTTACATAAGTAAATTTAATTACATTAAATCCAAATGATGCAATGACATCTTGGCAGAATGGAAGGTATGCTAGAGGTGGAAGGTCTAAGGAAGAGAAGTGAGAGATACTGTGAAGGCAGTAGCAATAGAAGAAAAGGATTTCAAATACATATAAAAAGGAAAGGGCCAGCAGGTGGCATGGTGGTTAAGGGCGCTGGACTCCCACATGGCAATTACAGTTCAAGTCCCGGACCTGGCAGCTTGCTTTTTCACTTCCTCTCTCTCACGCTGTCCCTCTCTAGTCAAATTAAAATAAAGAAAATAATTCTTTAAAAAAAGGAAAATCCTAACTAGCAGAGGCTTTATTAGCTACATGAGTTGAGCAGGAGGAAGAAGTGAAAAGTGACTTCCAGATCGCTGACTTGGGAAACTGTGGGTGGAAGAACGGACCTACTATAGACGATTCGAGGGCTGGTTGCCTCCGTCGCCTGATCGGGGTAGAAGAAAGAGAGATGGAGACGATGATATGGTAAATCAAGCATAAAAGCATTCTACCTGGAATACAAAATAAGCTGCAGTGCAAGGTAGGCAGTGAGGAAGAACTGCAGAGCCAAGCTGGCTGGGATTAAATCCCAGCTTTATTATGAAGTTTCTTAGCAACCTGCGCCTCATTTTTCTCACCTGTAAATCAGGAAAAAGCTGCAGTACCTGACTCGTAGGGCTATAGTGACGAGTGTTTTAGTGATAAATATAAAACACTTAGAATGGTGCCAGGATGATAGAAGGCGCGCAGTAATGGTTAGTTATTATCATTATTACTATTATCTGCTGTCTATTATAGCTGTGGGCACCTGCGGAGCAGCTGAGAGAGGAAGGTCAGGGGTTGGAAAGAGATAAATGTGGACTGCTAAATGGATGTGCCTGCACTTTTAACAGACAGGTTGCTACCGGAATGAGTGCTACACCGTGAATACATGTTATCCTACGGGATTGGTGTCCTGGGGAGAGGTGTGCCTACTTCTGTGTGTGACCTTGTTCAATTCTATTTTAGAATTACCTTTTTGAGCCAGAAGCTAAACCACAAAACTAAAACCTCTCAGTAACATATAATATTTGAATCCACCTCATCCTAATTTCTAAAAACGAAACTCTTAAAGGGTTTCTGTTGAAATGACAATGACAATTCATAAATCTTTTCTGCAGATGTAAGATTTTCCCATTCCACATTGAAATATAATACATACATGTATTATATAGATACAGCCATATGTATGTTTTATATATATATATATATGGTTATGACATATTCGAAGGCTTTCTTTATGTTTTAAATGATAAAATTCACATTTCAACTTAGTTCTGGTTAAGAAACTGTATTGCACATGTGTAGTTTGTCAAGTTTGATCGCCATCACTGAAACCTACCATAAGCCTGAAGGTGTTGGAATGAGTTCTCCAGGTTGATAAATGCTGCCCCTATAATGACACCGGCAGTGAAATCTATAAGGGGACAAAAGGGAGGGGGGGGAGGGGAGGAAGTAAATAAAATAGGATTTTTTTTTTCCTCAGAAACCACTACCATTTAAGTAGATTGTATGCTTTGTAATTGTCATTGTAAGGGGCATAGTAAAGTCAGCATAATTTTATGAGACTCTGTGAAATCCTCTTACACAAAAAGAAACTGTTTAGATATAGGTCCAGTAAAGCTCTACCTTTAGTTTTCCAAAATACAGTTCACGAGCTGTGTTGTTTTAATCACAAGAATAGTGAATGCACTCCACACAATGATGACTGATACATCATTTAGCCTGCGTATAAAATAGAAGTCGTTCCCTCATGGGAGAATTCAGAAATCTGAGTGCTCAGAGACATTATAATCCTGCTGCTAAAATTTGCCACAGGACTAACTTATACGGTAAAAAGAATTAAGAATAAAATTCTGGATTAACCATCATATTCCCTAGCTATTTCTGTATCTATTTATACAGGGTTTTTAAAAAATAGTAAAAGCAATAAGAAATATGAAAGCAAGGAAGTCCATTTAACCCTTAAGAAGAAGTGATAAGAACTGGGCGCTGTCGGCCCATTTCTGTGACTTACATGGGTACACAGAAGCTAAGTGTGTCTTCGTAAAATTTGCCTTCAGGACAGTTACAGCCTTCGGCACAGTCATCGTTACACTGCTCTGGGGAAGCGAGAGACGTGCAGGAGCGGCGGCAGAACGAGGCACAGTGCTGGTACAACATCCCCTTCTGGCACACCACGGCTAAGGACAAGGAAGCCCCACTTGAGAAAGACCTCACAGGACGCGGAAGCATTACCTGCCTGCGTACTGGTCATCGTGGACACAAATTATGAAATAAAATAATAAACGCAAGACATTACAGAATTCTAAGCAGAAAATCAATCAAACGTTTGAAGCCTCAGCGGAAGTATTAACAATATAACAAAATTTCTGCTGCAAAGGATTTTAAAATGTGACATTCAATTAAATCTTTAATAGCCTTTACCATAATTTTTAATATGAAAGATGTTCTATATGTCCAAATAAACTTCCTATGTTATAAATTGCTGCACTGACATGATCTTCCTTGTAGCATTCTTTAAATCTAAGTAAACGCTCAGTTTTCTAATAATAAAATTTGACTTTACTGATCCCTCATCGTAGTTTTTATTTTTGCCTTAATTGTGTTTAATTCATTAAAAACCCTTTCGATTTATATTTAAATCCAACCGAACTAATTATAGTAAGAAAACTAAAACAATGCAAAAATACACTTTACAAACACCTAGAAAATGCTGAAATATAAGTGAAATTATCTTGAGAGTATAAATATCTTCCAAGAGAAAGTGAAGCAACATTCTCAGATACCAGAAGTGATATGGGAAATAAAACCCGGAACTTTGAATAGGAGAGTAGAGGATCATTCTCAGTAATCTTGGTTCTTGGACTTAGCCCATGTGGAAACAGAAAAAATGAATGTTGGCCCTTTACAAGTAACGGAATTGGGAGATCCTTAACTTGGCCACTCAAAGAGCAACATCCTCAGTTGAAATGAAAAACTAAGACATACGTCACAAAACTTTTTCTATAACAGGCCAGAAGGAAATATTTTCAGCTTTGCAGGCCATGCAGATAACTAATCAGGTGTGCCCTTCTTGCACAAAAGTAGCCTCAGATAACACATAAACAACTGGACATGACTGTGTTCCAATAATTTTATTTATAAAGACACAAAAATCTCAATGGCTGCTATTTACCAACTTCTAGACTAGAAGAAATCGTTCAGAGTTCAGGAAGGTGCCAGGAAAGCTTCTCTAATCACAAGGTCTGTGATAAGAGAGTTACCCACAAGATACCAAAAATCTAGATTTACACCCTTCACGGGTTAAGATATGACTTTACATTACTTTTGCTTTTGTTTTTTTGTTTTGTTTTGCTTGTTTGAGAGGTTTATTTTTTGTTTGTTTTGTTTTGTTTTTGCTATAGCACGCGTGCACATGCTAGAAAGAGAGACAGAAAGCAAGAAATACCCCCTTCCCCCTGGTGGGGGGATGGCCACGTCGCAATCTCTTCTCCTCCATTCTCCTCTCAGGATCTTGGGCACGCATGCACACACACCTGGTGTGAGTTTAGGCCACTGGGTCTAGGACTTGAACAGTGGTCGACTACATGGAAGTTCAACGAGTGACATAGCCATTACACCAGCTGCTGGTCCCAACTTTACATTATTTTTATATTTACATGATTTTTTTTTTCTTAGAAAGTCAAAGCTGAGCAATTAAGAATATTAACACTGGAGGGACCAGCAGTTAACATAATGGCTATGTCACTGGATTCCCATGTAGTCGACTGCAGTTCGAGTCTCGGACCCAGTGGCTTAAACTCACACCGGGCGTGTGTGTATGCATGCCTAAGATCCCGAGAGGACAAAAGCAGAGAAAGGATTGTGGTGTGGCCATTTCCCCTGGGGGATGACTTCTCGCTTTCTGTCTCTTTGTCTCTCTCTGTCTTTCTGGCGAGCACACGCGCCCTATAGCGAAAACTTCTCAAAAAGAAAAAGGGGGAAAAAAAAAAAAAGGATATTAACACTGGAGATCAGGGGATGTAATGCTTACATCACTGGATTCCCACATGACCAACCATGGTTCAAGTCTTTGAGACCCAGTGGCATGAAACTCACCTAGGCACATATACATATGTGCCCAAAATTCTAAGAGGAGAGTGGAAGAGAAGCGATTTTGGCATGGCCATCCACCTTGCAGGGTGATTTTTCGCTTTTTTGTCTCTGTCTCTCTGGTGGGTGCACAAGCACTACAGCAAAAACCTAAAAGAACATAAATAAATAAATATTAACACTGAGTAGTGATACCTGTGGAATAACTAGTAAAAACTTTTTGAAACCACTAAGGAAATGGAGAAGTGGAGAAAGTAATGACTCCAAAACTCAGAACACAAAAGATTATAATGGGAAAGCAGGTGGAGGGTAGAGGGCTGATAAAGATTAGCTGATACAAAAAAATTATAGAAAATACAAGGAAACAACCTACTATGAATGAGAACAGCAGATATCATAACCATGAGGATTAGAGCCCAAAGAACTTGAGATAATAATTGCTTGTTGTAGGGCCATGTGGTGGCACAGTGGTAATGCAACTGGACCCATGTAAGAATGATCTTGGGTTTGCATCTCAGAACCTCTGTAAGTATGCCAGGAAGGTGTATGTGCCTATAATCCAGGCTAGCTGAAGCTGAGACTGGAGTAGGCTGTGGCATGAAGACCCTGTTAGAGGTGCTGTCTGTCTGTCTGTCTCTCTCTCTCTCTCTCATGGTATAAATAAATAAGCTTGAAAATACTGAGTAATTGCTTGTTGTGCAATGAACCTACTTAAGTACAAATTAACTGTGTCAATGTATTACATAATCCTTTTCCATACTTTCCAATATTTAGATGTGATGTTTCCATTCTAAATTTTTTTTAATTTTTCAAAATTTTTCTGTTGCATATTTCAAATCATATCGTTATATTCTAGCTTTGCTCAAAGGAAAAAGTCTTAAGTAGTTAGTCTTATTCAATATATCTCCAATTTTAAGAATGTTTGTCCATTTTAAGAATATTTCAAGTAACCTATATGCAATACTAGCCCTTTATTTAAAAAGTAAAAGCAGTATTCAGAAATATGAAGACCTCGAAAGTGTTATCTGATGGTCTCTATCTGTGCTATTGTACTCACCGCAGAATGAAATCTGAGCTCTAAAGTCGATGGGAACACCGCGCTGGCCACAGAGGTAGGCATAGTGAGCAAGAGCGTTGCAGAGGCAGGCGCTTCCACACTTACAAGCATCGTGACGGCACAACTGATAGTACAGCCCTGGGCTGACGTAGATGTGGCAAGGAGTGAAGAGCGCCTGGTGGATGACATCACAGTGTGCTGCATACCCAACTGCCAGACAAAGAGCCCATTAACATCGCACTTACTAGTCCCGATCTTACCTCTAAATACCAAGTTGTAAACTACCTAAGCACCCTGCTTTGTTTTTTTTAATAGTTTTTTTTTTTAGATGTTTTTGTCATAGGGCATGTGCACTTGCCAGAGACAGAATGAGAGAACATGAGAAGGAAATTGAAAAATCATCCCCCAACTAGACGGAGGATGGTCATGTTGTGATCCCTTCTCCTCCATTCTCCTCCTGGAATCTTAGGCACACACATACATTTACTCTGTGTGATTTTCAAGCTACCAGATCTGGGACTCAAACCACAGTCATGCCACGTGGGAATCCAGGGATGTAACCGCTATGCTATCTGCTAGTCCCAGCACCTTGCTTTTTAGAACACATTGTATGGCATATTACTTTAAGTAACTGAGCCAACATTCTCAGCTTATTGTTTATTTATGTTTTTAGAAATACTAGTAGCAGTACTTAATCCATATTAATAGCAAAAGTCAAAACCAAAAGTGTACTATACCTGAATAACATGAATAACCAAAGGGTTGATAGAACCAGTGGCCTGAACCACTTCAATGCCTCAGCATTATCTTAGGAACCCAACTATAAAATATTGGGGAATACTGAAATGTGTATCTTCAGACATCTACACAGAATACAAGTGGTTCTAGACTGCAGATGTTATACTCTGGAGCACACAATTATCTAGGAAACATCAGGCATTATCTCACTCCAATGGAGGGTCTGAGGTGGATGGTAATGTGAGCTCTGCCAAAGAGTCATCAGATTCAATGTCTGCACAATGTACAATGTATGGCAGATAAGAACTCAATAATGTTTGATAAATGATTCTATGAATGCATAAATAAATGAATAGTAAATAGAAATTAGGGATTAGGGATTAGAATATATGCTAAGGGCCATCAGATATAATTATATCATTTTGGAAAAATGATATAATTATATCTGATGGATATTTATGGATATTTATGGATATTTATGGATATTTCCATTGGGAATGACTGATCATATATAATCCTGGATAGAATTAACAAAACAATTATGTCATAACAACCTAGATCTAGTCTTTCTTAAAAAAGGTCAGGTCTGTAGCTCATTATTATCATAGACCTCGGTTGCATTGGTTTCCTCAGAGAGAAAATCAATTTTGCATTGTAATTGTCTTTGAGAGACAAAATATATTGTTAGAATTTACTTCCAAGGAATTATACCAAAATTACTCTCTTGAGTATTTTAAATATATTTATTATCTGTAAGGAGGTATGTGGTAATTATCCAAGTACTATATTTTTGCACTGGGCACATGTATGCAAATGAAAGCAGACGACTTCCACTATAGCAGTGCACTGTTGGCATATATACGTTAATTCTCAGAGCAAAGTAATACGCCAATCAGACCTTTACTGTGCTGTATACCCTAAGGATCTTCAGGTCAAAATATATTCCCATTGACATTAAGTAAAAGGGAATTCAAGAAGATCCTTGTGAAGATAGCTAAAGAAGCAACTAGATGGAAACTAAATTCATCAACTGAAATACTTCGGTTATTACGTGTTATTATAAAATCAAGAAAAAAGTAGCTGCAATATCCAGGAGAAAAGCAAGATGGTTAGAAACAAATTGAACAAAACTAATGAAATAAGTAAATTAGTAAAAAGTTGGGGACAGAGCGGAGGAAAATGTCATTAAATAGGAATGAGATTAAAATAAGTTGTAAAGACCCTACCCCCAAAAAACAAAACAAAACAAAAAAACCTCTAGTGTAAACTTCTTATGAAAGGTGAAAAAGAAAAATGACCAAAACAGTTAAGTTCAAAAGCTCACTAGAAAATGCAAAAATATAATTGAAATGATCTTAAGTGTATAAATAACTTACAAGAGAAAATAGGGCAATATTCTTAGATTCCAGAAGTAATGTGGGAAATAAGAAATATTAAGAGCAAGATAGTCTTGTGTTCTTTTCAGTATACCAAAACTATATGTTAATAATAAAGATCATATGACAAGCAGCAGAATCCTTTCCATATACTCATTACAAAACACAGAAATTGAACTGGCTTCTCATGGATGCTCAAACAATATTAGTAAAATACTTCATAGGTTAAAAAAAAACTGCATAAAAATAATAAACTAGCCAAAAATAATTCAAGGATGTTAAAGTTATAATATTAACAATACATATTGTTTTCAAAAGTAACCTTATAAAAAAATTAAAAACAAAAGCTATGTCTTCTGTTAAGACCTAGACTAGCCTTTACCACAATTTGCTGTGGCTTTGGTTTAAAAAACTAAATGCAGCCAAAAATTCTTGGCATGTGAGTTGCACTATCATTGCAAAGTACAACTCTGGAGCATGGTCATCTCAGATTGTTGGCCCTCAATGGCAGGACGCCTCCTTGGATCACTGGCTTCCTGCTTATAAAGCCATAATCTGAGCCCTGAGGAGGAACTCATAATGAGCTGGTAATAAACAGTAAAGCCATGTGAGATCTCATATTATGGAATTAAAGTTGAACCCAGGACTATAACAGCATTACGAGAGTACTTCCAGAGACATTTCTTTAGCCCTTAAAGACTGAAAACTCAAAAACGCTAGTCTACATTTGGGGGAAAAAGTACTTCTAAATACCTAGAATAAGTAAATTTATGAACACAAAGTAGTAAATAAAATGTCATTTTCTGTTTTTAAAATGACCTATATTACTGCATAATATTAAACAGAAAATTTATAAGGAAAGGCATTGATTTGATCATAATGAAGAAAATCAGAATTTAATCTAATTTTACAAAATTATAATAATACTTAAAACTTTCCCCTAAGTTAACCTACAGAAAGGAAGACTTACTGTTTTGTTGATTAATGTTACAGGGGTCCACCACTGGGACATGAACAGGCGCAAAACAAGTGGAAGAAACTCTCCATGCATTTGCATGAAGTTGTGGAGTGCCTTCTATCATGCCTGATGGAGAACTAGAAAGAAAAGGTAACATTTGTCTTAGTGCCTCTTGCTCACTTCATTTATTCATACTCTTCAAATATTTAAATATGATAATAATTTTCTTAATGTATGGGGGAACTTCAAAATGTCTTTAAAAATAGAATGAAAGGGAACCAGCAGATGGTGTAACAGCTACAACGCTGAATTCCCATGTAGTTGACTGCGATTCGAGTTCCAGCTTAAAACTCATGCTGCTCCCGAGACAAGAATGGAGGAGAAGGTACTTCAGCATGGCCATCCCCTGGGTAGGTGATTTCTTGACTTCTGTCTGTCTCTGTCTGACGAGTACATGCACCCTATAGCAAAAATCTCTCAAAAAATTTTTTTGAATAGAATTAAAGTACAAGCATTTTTTTTGCAAAAACTGTTTTGAAATTTAGGCATGGTCTTTTCATAAAACATATTTTCCCATGAACTTTTTGAAGACCCCCTGTACAAAGAAATCTGAAAGTTTTAAATCTACCAGGCTAAAATAATACACTAGTCCTAGCTTCCTGTTACTGATAATTTACAATGTGTCAAGCTGTGGACATATAAGATTTTAGCTCATCTTCATCCAATTTTGTGAGAAATTCACCATTATCCCCATTTAACAGAGAAAGCAGATCAGAAATTTAACATTTCCCTAAGCTGATAAGTGTCAAAGTCAAGATTCAAACCCAGTTCTTAACTAAACATTACTCACACGCCCAAACATTACTCATTTAACGAAACATTATTTATACACCCAAAACTTGAATGTGTGTTATTTAGGACACTTGTGGAATGGAAGGGGTGAGGAATTCTCATCATTCTTTCTGGGATAAAGAAAAATGTCCTGGGGCCAGTAGATGGTGTGGTGGTTAAGGGCTAGACTCCCACACGGCCGACTGTGGTTAGAGTCTCAGACCTAGCAGCTTGGTTTCTCGCTTTCTCTCTCTCTCTCTCCACCCCCACCCCCCTCTCCCTCTCTGGTCAAATTAAAATAAATAAATAATGAAAAAATAAATAAAGTTAAATAAGATAATTCTCAAAAAAGAAAAATGTTCCAAAATATTTTTGGTTCAATATTTCAATTTCAAGTCCTAAAATAGTAAAATTCCATCCTGAAATGGGAAAACAAACCAAACAAAATTTGAGAGAAAAAAGGTATTGAAGTCACTCTTCATTCAAGTCCGATTTTTTCTGTACCTTCAGCAAACCACAATGCAAGAGAAATATATAACCTTACAAATTAAGACTTACAGCCCAAACAATGTTAGTGTTTAGGAGCCAAACAGTGTAATTCCACCTCGAGCATCTATCAAAATATATTAAGTCATCAGACATTGACAATCCTTACTGGACACTGGGTATGACACTGTCAAAATTACATATGGAATCCAGTTGAACTAGGTCTCCTGTAAGAGATTTTGATTGTACCACAGCCTTGAGGACATTGATGCTACACTATGGCTAAATGGCTTTAAAGCAGGCTTTATCTAAGCTTTCTCTAATGTCCTAATCAATGAACTACTTTGGTTACTCAAGTCAATTTCCCTTAACTTTGTGAAGTTATTCCCATAGTAACTAGGAGAGGAGGGACAAAAGTATACGAGCCATTCCACAGTGTCCATCCCACATCCCTACATAGTCTATCCTTCCTTGTTCCATTCCAGAATTGTAAAGAACTGTTAACACCCAATACAAAATTGTATTTTGTTCAAGTGAAAGCCCTGAGACTCAAAGAAATTGTAGGACTTGCAGGGATTTTTTTTTTCCTTATTCTTTCTCTTTCCTTCCCTATTCCTCCCTCTGAAGAATAAAATAAAATAAGTCTGGGTGATGAATGCAGCGTAGGTTCCCTGGAGTACCTGACTCAGAACTTGGCTCTCTCATTTCATTTAGTTTGCTTAAAGTAATAAGTACAAAAATAGTAGGATCTATAATGCAGACTAATTTCCTTATTGCATTTCATTTTACAAAATAACCTTTCAGTGCACCATAGTTGACTAGGCATATAAAATAATTTCTCAAGTAATTAATATTTTCTATTCCACTACGCTTGCAGATTCACATTTAATGTTTGTGTAGTAAAGAATTTTAACTATTTAAGTTGGAAAGCTAAACAATGTTTAAAAGTTATCTCTGACTCTGAAATATTATCCTACACCCTTATCATGCCTGAGTATTTATACATGAGGATTCGGTGCCGTAAGGAAAGGCAGACAGACCTGCCATCTGTTAAACGTTGACTGTTAACATTCTGACAAACAGAAAGAGAAAGAAGGCATAATGCCTTTTCTAAACATCTTTGCCAAGCCTCTTAATGTAGCTTCAGTTTCACAAATGTGATAGAGATACTACTATTCTGACCTACGAATAAATAAAACCAAAAACAATTTAATCACATATGAAACAAAAATCTCTTTGAAATTGTTAATTTTCAGTGAGAGTTCTCCTTGTTCATTCAAATCTTCTTATGATGCCCATTAATAATTCTAACTCATAAGCACTGGGGGGCCACTGCACAATAGTGGAGCCATATGGAAGGCCCAGAGATCAGATCCTGGGTTAATTTAAACAAATTGGGTGTGCCTGTGGGTATCTGTGATCCTAACTAGCTGGGAAGCTCAAGTGGATTGTGTCATAATGAGACTCTGTCTTGAGTAACCCCTACCTCTATTACAAAATAAATAAATAAAGATTAAAAAATAGTTTTACCCAAGGTCACTTTGTCCACTATATATAAGGTCCTATTCTAGTTCAGAAAACTATAAAGACCAAGGACAGGATCCTTATTCTCACAGCTCTTGTAGTTTTGTGTGGAAACCAAACAGATAAACAATGGATTTTCTCAGATAACAAAATGTCAGAATTAATTTTGGTAGGTGGATTTTGGCTGGTGGGTTATGACCTAACTGAAGCAAATAATACCTTACTAGTATTGAACAATAAATGGAAGCTTATAAGGAAGATTAGAATGAAAGAACAACCCCAAGCAAGAAGAACCCCAAGCAGAAAGAAGAGTAGGTCAGAAGGGCTATTAAAAAAAAAAAAAAAAGATATAGTATTTGAAGAAAAACTTCTCCATGGAATGTCTTCTGGTTTCCCATACCATAATGATCTGTAAATTCCTGTTGTGCTTTCAGACACAACCACAAAGCTAAACTTCTCATTTTTTTTCTGAAATTTACATCAGTACTTCCATATATATTGATTGGTAACTTGCTGAAATAACAAAAAAAAATTTTTTTTGTTTAACTTTTTAAAAAATTAGGTATGGTCGGGAACCAGCAGTTAGCGTAATGGCTATGTCGCTGGACTCCCACGTAGTCGACCGCGGTTCGTGTCCCGGACCCGGTGGCTTAAAACTCACGCCGGGCGCGTGTGCGTGCGTGCCCAAGATCCCGAGAGGAGAATGGAGGAGAAGGGATTGCGGCGTGACCATCCCCCCTGGGGGGTGATTTCTCGCTTTCTGTCTCTGTCTGTCGGGCGAGCGCACGCGCCCTACAGTGAAAACTCTCTCCAAAAAAAAAAAAAATTAGGTATGGTTTGGGCCAGTAGGTGGCATGGTGGTTAAAGTGCTAGGCTCCCCCATGGTCAGCCACACAGTTCAAGTCCCAGACTGGCAGCTTGAAAATCACACCAGGAGTATGTGCATGTGTACCCAAAATCCTAAGAGGAGAGGGGAACAGAAAAGATTGCAGGTAACCATCCTTGCTGGGGCTAATTTCTCACTTTCTCTCTCTCACTCTCTTCAGTAAGCACACACACTGGGTAAAAATCTAAAATAATAAAAAAATAAAAATATAGGTATGGTTGACAAAAACTGTATTTATGGTGTACAATATGTTTTAATATATGCACACATTGGAGATGGTTGAATCAGCTAATGAACATATCAGCTCACATACTCATCATTTTTTGTTGTGAGAGTATTCAATATCCACTCTTTTTATAATTATTTATTTAATTTTATTTATTCATTCATTTATTTTAATTTGACCAGACTCACTCACAGTCTCTCTCTCTCTCTCTCTTTCTCTCTCTCTCTCTCTCTCTCTCTCTCTCTCTCTCTCTCTCTCTCTCTCTCTCTTCGACTCAGGTGCACGTG